ATGCCACATAAGAAATGGATTCCATTCTTGTCTCCTGCCAATTTGGAAAACTGAAAGGCTTCTTCCATTGAATCTGTAGAAATGTATTTAGCTGAAAAACCCGACAAAACAGCAGAGATCTTTGAATAACCTTACAATGAATGGTAAAGTTAAGCCTCTAATCAAAATTGGACTTTAGGAGACTATATGGGCCCAACCGTGTAAACATCTCAGATAACAGTGAGGGAGGGCTTGTCATTTCTCTCTTCTGGAGTGATTTTTCCAACTTTGCAAACAAATCTACAGCTCTGGTTTTCTTGTGCTCCCACATTTAAGTACCTCCAACCCTGATGTGCCTTTTAAAGATCAGTGTCAGAGTTCCGACGGATACCCTAATTAAATCATGAGCTTTGAGCCAAGTTTTAAAAGGAATCCAGTTATTTATTAGGAGCTCCATGTCAGCAGGTTCCCAAATGAAGCCAACTCTGACTCCACGTTAATTTACAGCCCTAATCATGACCTTGTTTACCCCCTCCCTTCAGGGTGTGTCATCAATTACATTCACCAAGAGAACAATTTGGTGGGTTGTAGAGATCACTCCCCTCCGGCCGCTGTGGGTAACCCTGGGAGACAGCCTTGAGAAAAATATGTCTGGAATGTGCTCCTGTCTTTGGCTGCCGTACTGCTTCGTTGGTTTTCCATCCCCCTTGCCTATGGCAACTCAAGAGCAGGGCTGCTTTGCGAGTTGACATTCAGTCAGATCAACTAAAGTGCTACTCTCTGCTGTGACATAAGAATAAGCTCATTATTTATTAGCTGTTCTTACATTTTGTTGCATATAGAAATGCATGTTTATCCTTAAGATAAATGTATCCATACAGACACACTTGAAGTTTCCTTTTGTTTTCCTTCATCTTCTACTTATTTTAATTTTGTAATTTTTTTTTTAAAGGGCTGTCTCGGTTACTGTGCAAGTAATCATCCCCATGGTTTGTCCAAATCTCTTGTGTTTTTAACAAGAATTTATTTTCTTCGTTCTTTTGCAGAACACATAGAAGAAGGACAGGCAAACAGCAGACTTCAGTATGAACAAAAGATCCAGACATTGGGAAAGGAATTGGCTCATTACAAATGGCTAAATGAGGAATTAACCCAAAAGTTAAAGCCGTCGGAGGGACACAGCGGAGGTGAGGAAAGGTTTCTGATGTGGTGAATTTGCCTTTGCTTTTCTGCTGGTTGTAGAGGACTGAGGAAATGGCCTTGAGGACAGGAGGAAATGCTCAGATAAGAGAGGACAGGAAGTGGGGCAGGAAGGTAATGAATAACTTAGGGCAGGTGTCGGCAATCTTAAACCCTCAAAGAGTCACAAAGGTCCTAACTGGAAGCCCCCCATTCAATTCTGGAACCGACTGGAAGTCGGGTTCCCCCACCATAGAGTCTTCTCCTAGCACGGCGTCCTTTTTTCTCTACCAGTCTTAACCGAAAGCCTTATCAATTGTGGAGCTGACCGGAAAACCCACCCCTTGCCATAGAGTCTCCTCCTGGCATGCCATGCTTCCTCCCCCCACCAAAACCGGAAGCTCCTCTCAAAATTGTGGCAACGACCAGCGAGAGGGAGCCGCAGCAGAGGGATGAAAGAGCCACATGCGGCTCCAGAGCCGCGAGTTGCTGACCCGACTTAGCGGGAAAGAGGGGACGAGATACTGCCTAGGAAACCATCAGACAAGATACAGGAATCTGCAGTTGTTTAATGGTCAGAGAAAGAAACTTAGGAAAGATCAAGCAGTTAAAAGGAGATGGGAAGTTTTGTGCTTTCAGACACGCAAGATTCTGTTAGTGTAGACTTGCAGTGAAGTAGAATTAGTTCATCTAGTCATGCTCCCAAATTGGAATTGGGTGCATCTGGACTCAGGATCTCTACAAACAGGCATCTTGGCAAAGGAGCCATGGCACCAACTGTGTTGGGCAATGCTGTCCCAGAGGCACCAGGAGTTAAACACGCAGGTTGCACTATGGTGTATCACGTCTGAGTACATGGATCCTGTTTGGTCCTTGTTCGAGCATTACCTGCCACTTCACTTTTTTTTTTTTTTTGATTTATATGCCGCTCTTCTCCGGACTCAGGGCGGCTTACAACGCGTTAAGCAATAGCCTTCATACTTTTGTATATATACAAAGTCAGCTTATTGCCCCCACAAACTGGGTCCTCAATTTACCTACCTTAGAAAGGATGGAAGGCTGAGTCAACCTTGAGCCTGGTGAGATTCGAACTTACAGTAATTGCAGACAGCTGGTGTTAATCACAATGCTATCAGTCTGCTGAGCCACCAGGCCACTTGACTAGTTGATATAATGTACCATATTTTTCGGAGTATAAGACACACTTTTTTCCCCTCCTAAAAGAGGCTGAAAATTTGGGTGCGTCTTATACTCTGAATGTAGCTTTTTCAAAGCTTTTTTTCAGTCTTAACGATCTCCGTCCTTTGCCTGCTCCCTCCGACTCTCAGCTGTGCTTTAGAAGCTTTTTTTCAGTGAAGCGATCTTCCGTGTTTTGCCTGCTCCCTCCGACTCTCAGCTGTGAAGCTTTTTTTCAGCCCCAAGGAGGTGCTAGCGAGTGAAGCGATCTCCGTGGTTTGCCTGCTTTTCTCATTGCTTCTCTCTCCAAAGATCAGTTGTGCTTTAGAAGCTGTTTTTTTTTAATCCCCAAGCAAGGGATAAAAACCAGCGAATTAATGTGCTGAAGCTGACCAGACTAAGGACGCTAGCCAGATGAATACCTAGTAGGCAGATTTTTTTTTTCCTATTTTCCTCCCCAAAAACTAAACTGCGTCTTATACTCTGGTGCATCTTATACTCCGAAAAATACGGTACCTCCTAGGTACACCACTCAAGTATATTCAAAATGGTTCTACTGCATGCAAAGCAACTGGCTTTGTGAAACCCAAACCAAAGCTACTAGATCGATCATGCTGTTCCATTTTTTTAATTTTTGGTCTTTTAACAACTCCGTAATCCCTTGCATCGGAGTGGAGTTGGGGCAACTGAAGGGAGCTGAGTGTTGACTGGCCGGATGCCCTTCCTGTCACTAATGCGGAGTTCACAGCAGATATATTCTCATTGTGCCTAGAGAGAGAAATATCTGCCTCTACCTAGGATCAAACTCACAGCCTCCTGATTGTGAGGCGAGAGCTCCACCTCTAGGCCACTGCACCACTCCAACCATGTTGTTCCATCACTCTCACTAAAAGTTTCTTTTCTCACAACAGGTATGGAGAGGAGTATCTTTGCAGTTGGGGATAGAGCCAGTTCACTCAGCACACATGAAGATTTTACCAAAAATAGCCAGCTGGAACCATCCTTGCAGTTGGATTCCTCAGAAAGGAATCAAAGAAAGAGAGAGGAACCCCGGGACTTGGTGCATACGCCTTTACCGTCCACCTGGAGGCGCTGCTCACTCTCTAGTGCCAATAACTTGATAGTGGAAGATTTTCGTCAAATGGAAACAGCCAAGGAGATTCCTTTGCCACCCAGATCCCGTAAAGAATTGCATCGGGTCAGCCAGAACATCATCCCTGGGTTGTCTTATCCAGAAATCATTGATGTCAGAAAAAATCCACTCTAGTTCTGAGATGTTGACTGTTCCATCTAAAATAAGCTAATAAGCGCCTTCTGAAGGTAACTGCTCATAAATCACCAAAAAGGCAGTAGGTGGGTTCATCCATTATGCAAAAATCTGAAGGAAAGTAACTGGGATTAACAAAAGGATCCATGACAGCCGTTTTGTATCTGAAGGACTGTCGCATAGATGGGGCAGAATTGCTCCAGAAGACAGGACAAGAAATCAATAGATCAGTGGTGTCCAACCATGGCAACTTTAAGACTTGTAGATTTCAACTCTCAGAATTCCCCAGCCACTCATGGGAGTTGAAGTCCACAAGTCTTAACGTTGCCAAGGTGGTGGACACCTCTGCCATAGATTTTTCATTATCGCTTTTGTAATGATAGAAAAAAAAAAAGGGACGTGGTAGCTCAGTGGCTAAGACGCTGATCTTGTCGGTCGAAAGGCTGGCAGTTCAGCGGTTCGAATCCCTAGTGCCGCGTAGCAGTGAGCTCCCGTTACTTGTCCCAGCTTCTGCCAATTTAGCAGTTCGAAAGCACGTAAAAAATGCGAGTAGAAAAAAACAGGGACCACCTTTGGTGGGAAGGTAACAGCGTTCCGTGCACCTTCGGCGTTTAGTCATGCCGACCATATGATCACGGAGACATCTTCGGACAGCGCTGGCTCTTCGGCTTTGAAACGGAGATGAGCACCACCCTCTAGAGTCAGGAACAACTAGCACATATGTGCGAGGGGAATCTTTACCTAATGATAGAAAATGTCCAATCATGGAAAACACTGCCTCAGAAGTTGGTGGTCTCCTTCACTGGAGATTTTCAAACAGAGGCTAGATAGCTGTCTATCAGAAATACTATATCGATGGATTGGAGATGATGAGAAGATCCCTTCTTGCATGTACAATCTCCAGATTGTACAAATCACATGCTGCTTTAATGTAATGAATGAACCCAGTCAAATGTTGACATCTTCGCAGATCTTTTACCTGGACTTCACTGGCTTTGTTATTTTTGTATAATTGCCTTTTACGGCAAAAACTGCTTGTTTCCATTCTTTACAGAAACTTTTCTTTGCAAATCTGGATTTCCCAGAACGAATGCCATTCTAACAAAGGGACGGTAAATTTGATCCCTTTGCAAATATGTACACATATTTTAAGTAGCTTCTTGGACTGTACTTTCAATAAACTAGATGGCTCTTTGTAAATTTGTCTACAGTTTGCCCTTGAGAAAGTTTGGTCATAAACTTGGCTAAACTGCTATTTGACTTTTCTTTCCCTGGAGATACAGCCAACAGGTTCAGGATTAGGACTTCAAAAGTGTGGTTGAGTCAAAGTTAGCGACTTGGAATACTTAGGCATGAATCTAAGATGTGCTAAACCTTTAGCGGCCGTTTGAAAAATCAGTTTGTCAAAAGAAATTAATTTATTTTACAAAAGAACAATTTAAAAGTGGTTGCTTTTACTGCTCTCAGTTCTGGACATTCCTCTTAAAACCTTGCAAAGGCCATACAGTGGCATAGCCCTTACTTTAAAAAAACCTATATAAAATACAGCAGGGGTCTCCAAGCTTGGCCCCTTTAAGACTTGTGGACTTCAACGCCCAGAATTCTGGGAATTGAAGTCCACACGTCTTAAAGGGGCCAAGCTTGGAGACCCCCTGAAATACAGAATTCATTTCTCCTCTTCTTGGAATTCAGCAAGGAATTGCTATCAGCCACACACAAGCGATGCCTTTTGGTGACTGAATCCTGATTTGGATTGCAAAGTTTGTCCTGGAGAGGTTGAAGGTCTGGCTCCAAAATATTCCCACCGGCCATCTCGTTTCAGCAGAGTGGCCTTTTTCGTGAGTAGGTCCTGGTAATGGATCTCTTTCTAGCCGGCGTGCTGCGGAAAAGAGAGAAGTCCTCGTACACAGCTCCAAATGTATCCTGGTCTTCCCCTATAGGAGAAAATAGGTGTGAAAAATCCCAACGGAACAACTGTTAAGAACAGAAATGGGGGAACTCACAATTTGTTTGAAGGGTGTGTAGGACTTTCTAGCTTTCTTAAGGGAATGTCTTTTCAAATCATCATCCTCTTTTGACGACCCCATAATCACTTGTGGGGTGGAGTCTGGGCAACTGAATGGAACTGAGTGTTTACTGGCCAGATGCCTTTCCTGTCACCAATGCGGAGTTTTTTTCAGCAGATATATTCTCAGTGTGTTCGGAGAGAGAAATATCAGCCTCTACCTAGGATCGAACTCACAGCCTCCTGATTGTGAGGCGAGAGCTCCACCTCTAGGCCACCGCACCACTCAAGGGAATGTCTTTTCAAATGAAAGATGAAAAACAGTTTGCCGTCATCTAGGTTAGTGTGACGTGTGTAGCGGAAGGGGAAAAGGAATCCGCGTCCTCCCCCTTTATCGATTCTAATTTGGCTATACAGGTAGCGACCAGTTGCTTCGCGAGCTTTTGAAGTTATGATGGACCTCCCTCAAAAAGTACTTATGACCTGGTTCTGAAGTTCTGACACAGCTGTCTCTCCCACAGTCCTGTGGCCGATTTTGGGCACTCAGCAACGGCCTGCATTTATGGCTGTTTGAAGCATTCCCTGGTTATGCGGCCGTGATTTGCAAAGTTTTTGCTTAAAACTGGTTACTATTCAAAGGCAGGATTGAGGAAAGCTAACCTCAAACAGGTCATCGTTTTTTCAGCTACGATCGCCGCTCAGGAAATCAAGCCTAGCTACAACTTGGTATGAATATGTTTGTCAGCTTTGGAAGCCATATTAGGCCGGAAGCTTCCATGCTGCCACCTTCTCATGTGTGGGAAAGTAGGAGGGGGGATTTAGTAGAGGGGTTGTCTTTAGACATAATAGCATATGTCCTGTCAATCAAGGTCAGGCCGATCCTGCATCTGGAGAAGGAGTGGTCGGAGTGAGGTCTGGAAATGGGATGGATGGTGATTGGAGCATGTGATCGACTGAGGAGTGAGGGGATGTTTTGGGGGTTTTGATTTACTGAGGGAAAACTCTGACCTCTCAGATTCGGGTTTTCCCAGATGTGCCAGTTTACCTATTCTGGTAAATAGAACTTTGAAAAATGCTTGCTTCAGAGTCTTTACTTGGAGTTGGGGTTTTTCTGGAACGCTGACAATGTTCTCCAAAGCCATTGTAATTGCCAGCCCTTGAATTTGCCTTTTTGCCTTTCTCACGTCACATCATTTCGCTTCTCGTGTTTTTAAAGCCACGTTGAGAGAGAGAGCAGGGGCTTTTATTGGTCTCGAAAAACCCTTTCTTGGCTCAAAAGAAAGCCGAGATATTTCAAGTAAGCAAGCCTCGGGTTGATTTTGAAAGGGCACCGAGAACTTGCATCGTCACAATATTGAGTGGCAAGAAATTGAGCTCCCTTGAAATGTTGTTATTCGTTACCCCAAGGGTTTGAAATGCAAATTGGCATACCTTTGGGGCACTTCCTTTGGGTTGCAGCAGGGCCTTTGTAGAGGAGAGGGGACTGTTCCAGGGCCCAAAGGCCACTAGCAGAGATCACACAGTTTCCTGAAGATTTGGGTGGAGTCGTATCTGGAGTTGGGAAAACAGGAGGTTTAAACTTAATTGAAAAAAAAAATTGCATCTAGCACTGAAGGAAAAAAAATCTAAGGAGCTATTTACAGGAGATAAAACAGCTTTCAGGGAGTCCACCGGCCGTAAGTAGAAAATAAAACAAGGTATCAATAGCTCTGCATAGGTTTATCCTGGTAGCTCACTGAAATTAAAGATCAAGATCCAGGTTCTCATGACATCAACAAACCACAGAAGAAATGAACCAAGGATCAAGAGAGTCTGAACAGCCACCTGCTTGGAAATGCTTTAATTTGGATTCCTGCAACTAAGCTTTGTATTCTTAACTAGACTCCTATGAAAAGGTCTGGCAGATGGGATTTAAATTTAATAGGTGCCTTGACAGTCCAAAAGTACCGTATTTTTCAGAGGATAAGATGTACTCCCCCCCTCTAAAAGAGGGTGAAAATTTGGGTGTGTCTTATACACTGAATACCCACCCACCAGCTCCCACCCTTCGGCCTCCGCACGTCCCCTCCAACGGAGCTTTCGGAGGGTGAAAAAGCAAGGCGCAGAGGCCAAAACGGCAACTGGGAACAGCTGCTGTACTGACTGGAGTGCCCTGCGACGATCAGCTGCATTTTTGAAGCTGCGTATCTGCCCCAACGAGGCACGAGTGTAGAGAGCACGCACGCGCTCACAACCAGCAAACCTGTTGCTAAAGTTCACCTCTGGGAACAGCTGATTGGGGGTATTCCGGGAAGCCGATCCACCCGCCAATCAGCTGCTCGTGCTGAATCAGGCTAATGTGCGGAAGCTGACCAGGCTGCTTGCTAAGGATGCTAGCATACCGATGGATCCTGGTAGGCAGAGGCAGATTTTTTTTTTCTCCTTATTTTCCTCCCCCAAAATTAAGGTGCGTCTTATACTCCAAAAAATACGGTACCTGAGAAGTTGAAGATGTCCTCCAAGATCGTTGACTTTGAGGATACCGTCTGTTCTCCCATGCTCAGCAGTTCAGTTGAGTAGAGTTGAGCTGCTCCGGGGTTCTCTTTTGCTAGGCATGGCCTTTTCGTTTCCTGGCTAGCCTCCTCACCCAGTGCTCTCTGCTCCTGAGCCCTTTTTCTAGACTCTAGCACCAGAGTGTTCCTGAAGATGTTCTCGTCCTTATTGCCTTCTGTATCACTCCCATCTTGAAGCTTATCAATTCCTTCAAGTTCTGGGTCTCTCAGGAGCCGAACCTTTCTGCTACTGAAGAGTTCTGATGCTTCCTTGGCCCCAGGAGGTGGGGCTGGCTCTTCTCCAACGGCTTCTGCCAGCCTTTCGCTTCTGCTGTAGCCCACTGTGGCCCTTTTCCTTCGCGGCCAATCTTTGATGGCCTCGGGGGTAACCTTCCCTTTACGTTTCGGAGACGGGGTCCAAGGGATGCCGGCGCTGCCCTGGGAAGGGGAAGTTGTAGATGAGGTACAGAGAGTGGTGGGTGAATAGGAATGGCATATATAAGTCTGCCCGCCCATCCCAAACTTCCCAGGGGTGTTGTGGGCAGAGCGAACGCAGGATGGCGAGATGGAGACGGGTTCCAATTTCTCCAGGTGCCTACTACACCAGGCCACCGAAACGTCCCCCACAGCGCGATCATTTTCCTCCCCCTTGAGTTTGTCAGACAAATTGAGAGGCCGCTGTGCGACCTCGGAAGCCACTTTTCTGATGCGGAGCTTTGGCAAACCAGAAGCTTGCATTTCAAGCTCAACTTCATAGGTCAGCGGCGTAGCTGTGGCCCCGAGACTTTGAGAGGAGGCCGCCTTCTCTTCCTTCTCCAGCCGTGCGGCGGCTTCCCGTTGCCTTCTGTCGGCGGTGCAGCGCAACGCATAGGCGCCAGACCCTGGCTTTGAGATTGCAAGCGGGGAGTCCAGATCTCGCCTGGGAGGACTTGTGAAGAGCAGAGGCTGCCCACCTGCAGCGTCCTCTGCTGAAGAAAGGCTACTCCTAGAGCCTGGATCTACAGGAGAACCATCTGAAAGAGACTTGCTGAGATCCAGTTTTTCGCACAATACTACGGCATGCGCAAAGTGCATGGGATTATTGGAAGAGAAGGTAGGCGACAGGCGTCTCTCTAAACCCTTCCTCTTAGTTGGACTTATTATTTTAGTTGTTGGTTCAGGTCTCTGATCCAGTGAAGCATCCTCCGTATTGCCAGGTTTAATAAAGGGGTTGGTTTCAGCCACAAAGCTTCTAGTGCCCATAGAGGGATGTTCCTCTCTGGGCAAGGAAGGAAGGGAGCCCAGGGTTTTTATGGGGGAGGTCTTTCGGACACTCTGTGTTTCTTGGGGACTGCAAGAGTTTCTCCCCAGCTTTTCCCTAGTTGGAAAAAGTGTGCAAGGGCTCCCAGCTTTTGCAGACCCATTACAGGATGAAGGGATACCATCTGATTGGAAAGCAGAACGAATCTCTGAAGCGGATTCGGTCCTAATATTCGGACTGTTCTGGATATGTGTCAAACCCAGTTCTGGATGAGCATCTTTGAAGGCTGAAGAGGATGCTCCTGTCAACAGCGAGGGGAAGTCCACAGATGAGACTGGCTCAGGGCAGGTATTTCTTCGTATCTCAAACGTCCGGTTCTCAGCCGAAACCATAGGCATTACTGGGGGCGCGATTCTCAAGGAAAGCCTTGGGGATTGCAGTTCTGAGTACGGCTTCCCCTGAAGAACAAACGGGGATGAAGGAGACGACAGAATGATGGGCGAATCGGGACCATCTGCAGGCAAAGCAAACACGTCATCCAGCACGTCAGAGAGCGGTGGTTTCTCTGGAGTTTGGAGTTCTGCTGCCTTGGGTGAGGAAGGATCCCCGTTCTTCTTCTCCGCAATCCAAGGCAGACAGGATTCCTGGTTTTCAGTGGATATAGGCAAGGATTTGCTCTTCTGTCTCACAGGGGAGAAAAGATTTCCCAAACATTTGGCCACAGAGTTTTTAAGGGCTGGAGTTTTCTGGGGAGTCCGTCGTGCCTTTTCTTGAATCCGAGGAGATCTTCTCAGCGTGCTGCCTTTGGGATTTAAGAGCTCCTGGGAAGACTGAAAATAACTCTTCCCTGGTGCCTGTGAAAGAAGCGTGAAAAAAGATCAGAGATACAGAGAAAAGGACAGAATAAACTCTGCCTTTTTTAAAGCATGAAGATACCCTGTTTTCCCCAAAATAAGATATCCCCTGATAATAAGCCCAATTGGGCTTTTGAGTGCATGGCAATAAGGCCAAGCACTTATTTCAGGGTTCAAACAATATAAAACAGGGTCTTATTTTGGGGGAAACACGGTAGCAATAGCACTTAGACTTATATACCGCTTTACGGTGCTTTACAGGCCTCTCTAAGCGGTTTACAGAGTCAGCATATGGCCCCCAACAATTTGGGTCCTCATTTTACTGACCTTGGAAGGCTGAGTTAACCTTGAGCCTGGTGAGATTTGAACTGCCAAATTGCAGGCACCTGGCAGTCAGCAGAAGTAGCCTGCAGTACTGCACTCTAACACTGTGCCACCCGCAGCTCGGTGTTTTCAAGAAATGTTGAAAACAAAGATCTTAGCAAAATTGTGTAATAATTGCTTTGTAGAATTAGCTGGAGCTCACTTAACAACCCTCTTTAAAGATGGCATGTACCTTCTTCTATGAACAGCAACTTCATATCATTGAATTCTAATATATTTTAGATAAACACCTACTGAAGGATATATTACCTATCAGTAGGCTGAGGTCATTTGTAAGTGTACAATTGCCAAGCAGATGCCTTGTAAATGGTTAAACTACAGTCTAGATCCAAGAACTTTTAAAAAGAGCAAAGAAACAGGGAAAAACAGTGTCGATCACCTAGAATTACTTTTGGTGAGATGGGCATACATTTGATTAATAAATTTTTAAGAAACCAGAAGAATATTGAGAAAAACAGAAAGATGGCAATTCTACCTGAGGAACAGGCTCATCAAAGGTGAGTTGTTTTCTTCTCGTTTGGGGAGAGCTCGTTCTCCCCAAACTAAATCCACCGAAAACTTCTCCAAAAAGTATACTCTTTGGAGATTGGGGGGCTTTTACGGGAGGTGAAGCCAGACCTGTGAATAAAGATTCAACAGTTTAGACAAGCTTAAACAAATGTTATCTGTAAGTTTGCAGGATAAACTCTTCCTAAGATTACCATTTATTGTGATAAATCAAAATGAAAACCCCATGTCCTTCTAAATACTACTGAACTACACCTCCTAGCATCATTTAGCCAGCCTAGTCATTGGTGAGGGATGCTGAGAACTTCAAGGAAATAATATCTGGAAGGTTGGGGGTTGTTTGAGCCATGGTGGCACAGTGGTTAGAGTGCAGTACTGCAGGCTACTTCTGCTGCCTGCCGGCTGCCTGCAATTTGGCAGTTCGAATCTCACCAGGCTCAAGGTTGACTCAGCCTTCCATCCTTCTGAGATGGTTAAAATGAGGACCCAGATTGCTGGGGGGCAATAGGCTGACTCTGGAAACCACTTAGAGAGGGCTGTAAAGCACTGTAAAGCGGTATATAAGTCTAAGTGCTATTGCCATTGTTTACTCTATTAGAAAATAGGAAAGGCTTTGGTGTCAATTTAAGTTGGAGATCAAAAAGAAACCTGTTCTAAATAGTACAGACATAAATACTGATACAAGTGAGGAAACTCAATCTCTCCCTTGCTTGCATCCCTATTAGATCTCCTTCCTTACCTGGTTCTTCCAGATGTGCAGAAGGCACTTGTGGTGTGTTCTTCTGGTTTGGCTCTAGGGAGCGGATGTTGCTGGAGAGAAATTTATCCTGCATCAATTGCTTGATCCGCGGACTTCTTCTTAAACCATCTTTTAGGAAGAGAGAACAAAAGGGGAGAGAATCAAGGAGCGTTAATGCTTGATATAGACCAGTGATGGCTAACCTTTTTGCTGTTGCGTGCCAAAAGCGGGAGGAGCGTGGGGTTTTCATGTGTACGCGTGCCCACACTCAATACCCCTCTGCGCCCTGCTCCCCCACTTTTGGCAGGCGATGGCCCGGTGGGCCCGGTAGGCCCATTTTTCGCCCTCCCCAGGTTCCAGAGGCTTTCTTGGAGCTTGGGAAGGGTGAAAACGGCCTTCCCCACCATCCCAGAGACCCTCTGGAGGCCAGAAACAGCCCGTTTCTCGACTTCCGGGCCCGGAAGGCCCAAAAATCAGCTGGCTGGCGTGCGCATGCATGCGGGAGCTGAGCTAGGGCAACATTCGCGTGCCCACAGATATGGCTCAGCCTGCCCGCCGTAGGTATCATGGATATAGAGTATGTCACCCTTGGAAAGAAATACTGAGGACTGGAAGCCCCACTGATCAAAAGAAACAACACTTCAAAGCTCATGACAAATTCTTTGGATACTATCATTTTTCAGAAGCATAAATTGGCAAGGTGGAAGACTGCTAGTCTCTGCCTCTAGCAAATAAGGGTTCTAGACACCACCACTAAGAGGCAGAATTAACACTAAACTTGGACACACGTCTACAAAGGGCTGAGGTTAGCGTCGCTCCGTGTCCTTCAAACTGCCTTTCTCTCGCTCTCTCACACACACACATCCCCGAGGTGGGTTTCAGCCGGTTCTGACCAGTTCTGGAGAACCAGTAGCGGAAATTTTGAATAGTTCAGAGAACCGGTAAATACCACCTCTGACTGGCCCCGCCCTCATCTATTCTCTGCCTTCCGAGTCCCAGCTGATTGGGAGGGAATGGAGATTTTACAGTATCCTTCCCCTGCCATGCCCACCAAGCCACACCCACAGAACCAGTAAAATTTTTTGAAACCCACCACAACACCCCCCCCTCCCCATGATCTAGATGAAATTGGAGCCACTTTGCAGCAGAGTAGAAAGGCTGAGTCTCTATTTCATCCTGTGACTTGGCTGCTTTCAAAAGATGAAAGTAGCTGAGATAACAATGCTGTACGTGGTGCATGGCTCTTGCCCAAAGCCAGAATTTAGTCATAAGAGCCGGGGTGGCGCAGCAGTTCGAATGTAGTACTGCAGGCTAATTCTGCCGACTGCCAGCAGTTCGATCCTGATCGGCTCAAGGTTGACTCAGTCTTCCAGTCTTCCGAAGTCGGTAAAATGCGGACCCAGATTGTTGGGGGGCAATAGGCTGACTCTGTAAACCGCTTAGAGAGGCTGTAAAGCACTATGAAGCGGTATGTAAGTCTAAGTGCTACTATTTCTCACATTCCCGTTGAGGGTTCAGACCACATCCTGTGTATAAACTAAAGTAATCTATAACAGGCCGAGGTTAGAGATTCATAAGAAGCGCTTCTCCTTCTTGCTCTGCTATGAAGATAATTTTAATTGCACTCCTGTAACCAGCATCTCTCAATCCTCGAGTCAGTTTGATTTGCAAGAGCCTGCCAATCGGTACTTACAGGTTATGTTTTTTTCAGGAGATTCTTCTACAATGCCAACATCAGACCCAGGATCCGAACACCTTTGAAGAAAAGAATGTTTGAGACTTAGTGGAGCAGTAAGAGGTGTAGAAGTAAAGAAAGGAAGAAAGGAAGGAATTTTGACTTTATTCCAAAGTAAGATTGGTAAATTGCTATTAAACGAATCTGAAGCTTTCACTCACCGGCCTGTAATCTGCCTCTGCAGCAGCCTCCTGGACATCTGCTTGTGCAGAGGGGTTTCTGCCACTCTTTTGGTCAATAACTTGTGATGAGCTGAAACAGAGTTAAGTTGTGTAGAGAAACAAGATCACACTTAAGCAAGCAATCTGTTCGCTTTCTGTTTGGGAAGCAAGGACAGAGATTCTTTTTCAGGACTGAATTTGTATTGAAAGCAGCTGCTACTCCCCCATGTTATCATGACAAATGCTGTAGCATCTTGAACACAATCACATTTTCTCATATGAGCTATAGTGGATGAACTCCACTTTATCAGATGTAGGGAATATAAGGTAAAGGTTCTCCTCGTACATATGTCTAGTTGTTTGCCAACTCTAGGGGGCGGTGCTCATCTCTGTTTCAAAGCCAAAGAGCAAGACGTCTCCGTGGTCATGTGGCCGGCATGACTAAATGCCAAAGGCACAAAGAACACTGTTCCTTTCCCACCAAAGGTGGTCCCTATTTTTCTACTTGCATTTTTTACGTGCTTTCGAACTGCTAGGTTGGCAGAAGCTGGGACAAGTAACAGGAGCTCACCCCGTTATGCGGCACTAGGGATTCGAACCGCTGAATTGCCGACCTTTCGATTGACAAGCTCAGCGTCTTAGTCACTGAGCCACCACGTCTCTTAGGGAATATAGTGCTGTGAAAATAAATTCCATATACCAGAATAGAATAGAAATCGAATCGAAATTCTTTATTGGCCAAGGGTGATTGGACACACAAGGGATTTATCACCAGTGCATAAGCTCACAGTGTACATATAAACAGCAAGTAATATAGTCATTGTAAATAAAAAGTCACTCATGGAATAGGAGTGATTTATGCCAATTGACCTTTATTCAAGGCTCTTAATATTCTAGCCATTATTCCCTTACCTCTAATATCTTCCTTAGATCTGCTGCGTTTATGTTTTAGATCTTCTAAAATGGAAACTGACTGGCTCCGAGCCATCTTTGGTAAGGAACTTTTCCCCAGAGGTAGAGTTTCTTCATTGAAAAGATTTCTTCTCACCTTTGTCACTTCTGAAAGCAACAAAAACAAGAGGTTTTCTGGTGTGCAAGCGTATCCTGGACAAAACCAATCATCAGTAAAATATTTAAGAAAAACAGCAGTAAAACATCTTTAAGACAAACGTCTAATTGCTCGAGTTCGTCAAGTCAGTGAGGTAACGGATACAATTTGTGGATGTACGTATTACATGGAAGCAAAGGGCAGAATTAAGGGTGCTCAAAAATAAATATTAAAAACGGTTTATAAAGATAATACATATGCTATGAAGGAGTCATCTCTTTAGCTATGCAGTGATTAACTTTACCAATTAGCCTGAATTTCCTCTGTTTAGCCATTAAGTTATAACGAAGAAGCAGTGAAAGTAGCAAGCGGACCGAGTGGAGAGGTTGCTTTTTAATAATCTTTTTTATGTACAGTTATCAGATCAGTACGATTGAGCCCCCTTGCATGGAGCTCAATTTTGTTATGCTGCTTGCAAAATTAGGCAGATTTCGATTATGCACTGATGAACCTGCCACCAACTGCAGAGTTTATCTTGCTTTGTTTTATTTTCAATGGTTTTTGTTTGCTTGTTTGCAACGCTGATCGGCGACTGTAATAAAAAACATATTCATTGAGAGAATGTCGTTTTTAGGACGCGCAGTCGCTGTCTAACATCTTAACTTGCTGCAATGTGAGAGAAATATCACCTCACTTCCTGCTTAGAATAGAATACTGTCACTTTGAATCGGCTAATCGGCATTATATTAAAAGGAAATTACGTTGCATACAGCTCTCAAAGGGCTCTAATGTAAACATAAACATTACAAGTTAAAATAAATAAATACAAAATTATGCATGTACCCACAAATATTATATGACACGGAAAACAACACAGTCTAGTTCGGATGTATACATGTACATGGTGAGAGAAACTTAGGAAAGAAGACATACCTTGTACTCCCATTTTCTTGGAAATGGGTGCTAGTTTGGCATCCAGGGCCCCATGAGAGGTGTCCTGAAAATTTAGAACACGGCATTAGAAAGGCTTCAAAATTCACATCATTTACAAGGCATCAGTAGAAAACTAATATTGGTGAATAAAAACTACCGTATTTTTCAGAGTATAAGACGCACTGGAATATAAGACGCACCTTAGTTTTTGGGGGCGAAAATAAAGCTGATTGGCGGGTGGATCGGAATACCCCCAATCAGCTGTTCCCAGAGGTGAATTTTAGCAACAGGTTTGTTGGTTGTGAGCTCTACGCCTTGTTTTTCTGCCTCTGAAAGCCTCCAAAACAGAGCTTCAGAAAAAGAGCCTCTGAAACTTCAGAGGCTTTTTTTCTGAAGCTCTGTTTGGAGGCTTTTTTTCTGAAGCTTCTTTCTGATGCTTTTTTCAGCCTCTGAAACCTGTTTGAGAGGCTGGGTGGGGCTACATTCGGAGTATAAAACGCACCCAGATTTTCACCCTCTTTTTTGGGGGGAAAAAGGTGCGTCTTATACTCTGAAAAATACGGTACTTCATTCCAGGTTCTACAGAAAGTAAAAGGTCGCCTCTCTCTTCTATAAACAAAAATGAACACACTTTCCAAAGGACTAAGTTCTTTATGAAACAGAGTTGCCTTTTCTAACCGTTGTGCACGTTTCCCCTCCCTTTAATGTCGCAAGCCATTTGTTCCCCACTGGAAGATTCACCTTTCTCCTGTGGTTCCACGATGCTTGAGGAATTTCTATTTGGCGTAAATTCTGTGACATTTCTGTGATACTCCTATGTCTGGCTAACGGATGCTTTCTGAAAGCAGAAGACAAAGGTTTTCAGCAAGTGAAGCAAAATCATTTAGATTCTAGCTACTGTTTTAAAGATGTAGGACGTTTACTTCCCTTCTTGATATGAATCAAGCCTGTTTTTAAGGTGCACAAGACTTGAGTTTCTCACACACGGATGACTTCAGAATATTCCCACACAATAAACCCAACATATTAACAGCCCAACTCTGTTTTCCACCCAATAACCCAATCCAGTGACAGCTAACCTTTTCGGCGTGAAAACTGGAGAGCATGTGCAGGGGTACACACACCAGAACCCGGAAGAGAGCAGCTGGCCAGTGCACGTGTGCGGCGGCCAGCTGCTCTTCCGGGTTTCGTCACGCGCATGCACGCCAGCCAGCTGATCTTCGCACAAAGACCAGCTGGCTGGCGTGCATGCCCACAGAGAGGGCTCTGCGTGCCACAGGTTTGCCATCACGGATTCAACCAATATTGTGGTTATATAGAAATCAATTACAGAAGCAGAAGCAACACTGGAAGAAAAAAAAAAGAGACAGAACTAACATTTTGCGGGGATCGTGCAAAGTTGCTCCTACGTTTTAGCTTGAATTAAACTCAACACTGTCAATCCCCTTTTTCTCACATACACCTACCGTTTCTTGGCAGATCGGGTGCGCAGTTCTTCCAGCTCGTCTGCTTCAGCGCTTAAAGAAGCTGCTTTAGAAAGTGGAAGGGAGGCGGCAGAAGCAGGAAGGGACACACTCTGTGTCTCCTCAGTGATGGAATCATCGCTAAAGAAATCCGTTGGGAGGACGGAAGCTAACTTAGCGGGAATCTCCGTTCCCAGACTGTAGTACAAATCACCAAGAGTCTTGGGCATAGATTCCAGATATCTGTAGGGAGAGCGCAAAACCACAGGATTTAAATCTTGGCGAATTTCATGTATATTCATGTACTATGTACAGGTAGTCCTCGACTTCCGACCACAATGGAGCCCAACATTTCTGTTCTTAAGAGAGACATTTGTTGAGTGAGTTTTGCCCCCTTTTAAGACTTTTGTTGTCCCACTGGTTAAGTGAATCACTGCAGTTGATAAGTTAGAAGCCCGGCTGTTAAGAGAATCCGGTTTCCCCGTTGACTTTGCTTTTCAGAAGGTCGCAAAAGTTGATCACAAGACCTTAGGGCACCGCAAGAGTCATAAATATGAATCAATTGCCTCTGATTTTTGATCACTTACATATCTACAACTTCTTCCAAAAAACTGCTGAGGTATCCTGGATCTTTATTCAAGCACAGCATCCTAAGTAACTCCGTCATCTGCAAGAGAGTAAAAGTCTTCAAATCCATGATACTCAAAGTAAAGAACAAAGTCTTACTTTCCAGGACTCAAGAGATGTGTAACACACACACACACACACTTTATTTACCTCTTGCACAAGCTGCTCCATTCTGTCTGTGTTATTTTGCAAAGAAGAATGTTGCAGGCACATCTCCAGGCGCAAATACACCTGAAGTCGGCACCTTAAAAAAAAAAAAAAAGAGGAAAAGACAGATTGAGGAGAATATTCCTTGTTTCTATTTCTCCTTCAACTGTAGCAATAAAAATGGACTGTGGGGAGGGGGTGCAGGAGAAATTACTCTGAAAAGTAATTTTCCACACAGTGCCCAAAGTTGCAAATGTTCTCAATTAATACCAATTACAGTAGCAGTTTGGACTAAGGGTATTTTAATTGTTTATCAATCAATTACTATCAAGTATTCTAGTGGAAAACCAGTCTACAAATGTACATATATAGTAGCAATAGCATTTAAACTTATATATCGTTTCATGGAGGTTTCCAGCTCTCTCCAAGCAGTTTACAGAGTCAGCCTATTTGCCCACAACAATCTGGGTCCTCATTTTCCCGACCTCGGAAGAATGGACGGCTGAGTCAATCTTGAGCTGGTCAGGATCGAACTGCTGGCAGTCGGCAGAATTAGCCTGCAATCTTGCATTTCTATAACCATTGCGCCACCAGAGCTCTATAATACAGTTTTATCCATACACCATACGTACAAAATAGTACATTTTGCCAAGGCTAATTACAGGATGGGTATGCAACAACATAAAGTGAGTAAATTTAAATCAAGGACAACACGACATCAAGCATTCATCTAAATCCCTCCACTTATACACAGAGGAATCCCTTCATCTAAAAATTAATTGAGTCATATTATTTCAGAAGCAAAGATCAGGCTTCGTACTCTTTGATCCCGGTTTCTTTATCAGGATCAGCGGCAAGTTGTTGACGAAGAGTGTTGGTGGTCTTCAGGAGATGTCTTTGGATCGTGTCTAGACAAGTTGCCTATGAACACAACATCAGACACAAAGGTGTTACTGCAGATATTCACCGAATACAAGTGGCAATCACAAAAATAGCCCATTGGAATAACTGCACAAAAAGAGAGAGGCTACCTACCATATTTTTCGGAGTATAAGACGCACTCCGCCACCCCCCTCCCGAGGGTGAAAATTCGGTCTTATACACCGAATGTAGCTCCGCCCATCCGCTGGCCCCCACCCTTTTTTGGGGAGGAAAACAAGGGAAAAAAATCTGCCTCTGCCTCCCAGCAATTTGCCTCCTTGCAGCAAACAGCAAACAGCCCATTTCAGCTTCAGCACAGCCTTATTAGCACAAGCAGTTGATTGTCGGTTGCATCGGCCTCCCTAACTCTCAACTGTTTCAGGCTGCAGGGATTGCCATTGCCTATTGCTGCGCGGGCCTCTGCTGCTTGCTGCAAGGAGGTAAATTGTTGGGAGCAGATTTTTTTTTCTTGTGCTAATCAGGCTATGCTGAAAATGAAAATTATTATTATTATTATTATTATTTATTAGATTTCTATACCGCCCTACTCCCGAAGGACTCAGGGCGGTGCACAGCCAAACAATAAAAACACATACAATACAAAATTTAAAAAATAGAATAAAATCAAATTAAATAATTTTGGCCCCGACAAATTTAAAACCCCAAACTTTTAAAACCAATTTAAAATTGAATATATAAATACTAAAAAATATTTAAAATTTTAAAAATCTTTTATAAAAGAGGGGGAAAATTAGGCCAGGCCGGCCTGGTGAAATAATAAGGTCTTTAAGGCGCGGTGGAAGGTGCGCAGATCCGGGATCCTCCGTATCTCTGGGGGGAGCTCGTTCCAGATAGTAGGTGCCCCCACAGAGAAGGCTCTCCCCCTGGGGGCCGCCAGTCGGCATTGTTTGGCTGACGGCACCCGGAGGAGTCCCTCTCTATGGGAGCGTACCGGCCGGTGGGAGGCTATTGGTGGTAGTAGGCGGTCCCGCAAGTACCCGGGTCCTAAGCCATGGAGCGCTTTAAAGGTGGTAACCAAAACCTTGAAGCGCACCCGGAAGACCACCGGGAGCCAGTGCAGCTCGCGCAGGAGAGGTGTTACATGGGAACGCCATGTCGCTCCCATTACCACCCGCGTCACCCAATAGTCAGTGATGGCGTCAACTGACTATATCGGGACGTCGGAAACCACAGCCACTCAGTCTTGGATGGGTTGAGCCTGAGCCTGTTCCTCCCCATCCAGATCCGTACGGCCTCCAGGCACCGGGACATCACTTCAAGGGCATCGTTGGGGTGATCCGGGGTGGAGATGTACAGCTGGGTGTCGTCAGCGTACTGATGGTACTCCACCCCGAAACCACGGATGATCTCGCCCAGCGGCTTCACATAAATGTTGAACAGGAGAGGCGAGAGGACCGACCCTTGCGGCACCCCACATATGAGGGGCCTCGGGGTCGACCTCTGTCCCCCTGTCAACACAGACTGCGACCGGTCAGAGAGAAAGGAGGAGAACCACCGCAACACAGTGCCTCCCACCCCCAACTCTTCCAACCGGTGCAGCATGATACCATGGTCGATGGTATCAAAAGCCGCTGAGAGATCTAACAGGACCAGGACAGAGGAGCACCCCCTGTCCCGAGCCCTCCAGAGATCATCAACCAACGCGACCAATGCCGTTTCCGTGCTGTACCCGGGCCTGAAGCCCGACTGGAACGGATCCAGATACGTCGTTTCATCCAGGTGCTGGGGGAGCTGTTGCGCGACCACACTCTCAACAACCTTCGCAACAAAGCGAAGATTGGAGACCGGACGATAATTTACCAACATTGCCGGGTCCAGGGAAGGCTTCTTGAGGAGAGGCCTCACCACCGCCTCTTTCAAGGCGGCGGGAAAGTCACCCTCACTCAGCGAAGTGTTTATAATCCCCTGGAGCCAGCCTCGTGTCACTTCCCGGGAAGCCAGTACTAACCAGGAAGGACACGGGTCCAATAAACAAGTGGTCGCGTTCAGTCTACCCAGAATCCTGTCCACGTCCTCAGGGGTCACAGGATCAAACTCATCCCAGATAACATTCTCAAGACCTGCCCCTGTCTCTCCCCCTGAGACTACCCAGTCGGAGTCCAAATCTTCCCGAATCTGAGTGATTTTGTCATACAGATACTGAACAAAATCCTCGGCTCTACCCTCCAAGGGGTCCTCCCGCGCTTCCTGGTGGAGCAGGGAGCGGGTCACCCTAAAGAGGGCGGCCGGGCGATTATCTGATGACGCAATAAGAGCAGCAAAATAACTACATTTCGCTGCTTTTATCGCCACTAAGTAATTCCTAATGTGGGATCTTACTAGTGTCCGGTCAGATTCAAGAAGACTGGCCCTCCAACTACTCTCTAGGCGTCTTTTCCGGCGCTTCAACTCCCTCAGCTCCTCGGTAAACCAAGGAGCCAATTGAGATCGGCGCCGGGTCAGAGGCCGCAAAGGCACGACCCGATCCAGAGCACCAGCAGCCGCCCTATCCCAGGCGGCCACCAGGTCTCCAGTCGAGGCGTGTGCCAGAACCTCAGGAAATGGCCCAAGCTCCGTCTGGAATCTGTCAGGTTCCATCAGGCGCCTGGGGCGGAACCATCTGACCGGCTCCGCCTCCCTGCGGAGGGGTGCAGCGGGGTGAAAATAAACTAAAACAGGCTGTTTGCTGCAAGCAGGCAAATTCCTGGGAGGCAGAGGCAGATTTTTTTCTCTTGTTTTCCTCCCCAAAAAAAGGTAGGTGCATCTTATAGTCCAGAGCGTCTTATACTCCGAAAAATACGGTAATTAAATGCGAACAACAAAGCAGATATCAAAGAGACACTTATTTAATAGATTTATATGCCACTGCTAAATCTTAAGAGCCTTGTACTAAGGAGCAAACGAATTGAGACAGAATGAAATCCTTTTTTTCTTCCTTTATATGGAATATGACATTTGAATAGAAAAAGGGAATACCCACAGGATGTTCCCGTCAAGATGTCCTTCTCAAGCTTCAGAACAAAATCGTATTGCTCTGTTTCAGTAACTTTTAATGTCATTTGTGCTGTGCTGAAAACATGATACGACTGTTTTCAAAGTCAAGTCTCGCTGGAGGTGGCTTGTTCTAATCCAATCAGGTTTATTGTTTCTGCAGTAGAAAGTTTTCATATATATATATATGAAAGTATAAACTTTTTCTTGATTGCTAATGTCATTTCACCATGTAGACAGGGGATTTATGCTTCTGTAATATAGAAATATACCATATTTTTTGGAGTATAAGACGCAGCTTAGTTTTTGGGGAGGAAAATAGGAAAAAAATCTGCCTACTAGGTATTCATCTGGCTAGCGTCCTTAGTCTGCTCAGCTTCAGCACATTAATTTTCTGGTTTTTAATCCCCTGCTTGGGGATAAAAAACAGCTTCTAAGGCACAGCTGAGAGGAAGAAGCAATGAGAAAAGCAGGCAAAGCAGGGGGAGATCGCTTCACTCGGCTAGCGCCTAGTTAGGGCTGAACAAAAGCTTCTAAAGAACAGCTGAGAGTCGGAGCAAAGCAGAGAGATCGCTTCACCCACAGGTCGCCATTACTGCTTCTCCCAAACCGGCTGAATACCACCTCTGCCTTTGACCCATAAAGACCTTTGAAAAACCTCTGGGAGGCAAAGAGAGGTGTATCTAAGCAATGACTCTACCTCACTGGAGTTCTGAAACGTATTAACAGCTGTCACCATATCTTGAGAACGTGCAAACAAATTTTCTCCGTCCATCACAGCGTTCTGGTAGTTTGCATTGAGGTAAGAAAGCATTTCATCTTCGGTACTGAAGTCTGCAAAAACACACAGAAGCATGAAATATCTTGCTGGAATATAATTGTCTCACAATTGAATGTTAACATAATTGCTTAGGTTATAACAGTGAATTTACAGCAAGAGGATCAGGAAAACCTTGAGGTACGAAAACCAGGGTCAAATGATGGGGCAAATAATCCTCTTTTCATTTGTTGAGTTTTTCCTCCCCAGCGTTAGCGCATTTCTATTCACTCACAAACTTCACAATTCCACCATTAACAAGCCAGACCTCTCCATGCGGACTAACCTAGTACACTGACTAAGAAGCCTCTTATAATTCAAGCACCTGAAGGTCAGACAAGGAATAATGGATGGAAACTGACCAAGGAGAGATTCAACCTGGAAATAAGGAGAAATTTTCTGACAGTGAGAACAATCAACTTAGTGGAACAGAAGTTGCCCTTCGGAGGTTGTGGGAACTCCATCACTGGAGGCTTTTAAGAAGACAGACGGGCTGCCATCTGTCAGGAATGGTATAGGGCCATGATGGTGGGCCTATGGCACACGTGCCACAGGTGACACACATAGCCATATTGGTGGGCACGCGAGCTCAGCTCTGGTGGGCATGCCTCCTCACTGTCTGACTCTGCTGCTAGCTCTACAGGCTGCTGGCGGACCACACCACCTGCAGCTTGCGTGGCCTGGTTCCCAACGGGCCATAGACAGGTACCGGGCCGTGGACTGGGGGTTGGAGACCCCTGTTCTAGAATGTTTGCAATTCTCCCTTAAATCTGCACCAAGACACCCAGTTTTGACTCCTACTCTTTGTTCTGAAACACAGGACTTTTGGTTTCCCTACTACACATGACAGAGAACTGATTTCCACGCACTTATCTTGCTTTTCCGTTTCCTTCCGTTTCCTTCTCCTTTGCCGTCCAATTTTCTGGAGAGCAGTCTTTGGCGTGGCTTTTTATGCACTGGCAGCTCTCCCTCTGGCTGGTGTTTCTGAGCTTTCACGTTGAACATGGCAGTGTTCAGCATCTGAAGAGAACGGGGCATGGTTTTCATCTTCCGCCTAATGGGTGTCCGGGGAACCGCGCCTGTTCAAGAGGAAAACAAAAGCGAAATGTGAACTTGGTTCATTACAATAGTGGCCAAAATTGTGGAAACTGTCCACAGACCACCAGGTTGAGAACCATGGATATAGAACGTATGGAATCATTTAACTTCTTTTAATCTACAGTAGTGGCCAACATTGTGGAAACCCTTTGGGAAAAGTGTATTTTCTGAAACTAGGTAATAACACCACTTTTTTGGGGGGGGGGGAGTAGTACCATAAAAAATTATATATCAATGGAAAGAATGGTCAAGAATGTAATGGAATAACTTTTATGAAGGATTTGCTATTAGAATAGCTGTTACAGCATAAAGAAGAAAAGTGAAACACAGAAAAAATGAGACATACAAAAATTATCACCATAGAAAAAACGAGATATACAAAAATGATCACCACGTCAGTTAATACTTAGTTGGTAACCTTTAGCATGAATGACGGCCTTAGAACTTCTTCCTATGGAGTGAACCAAGTCTTTTAGTTCTGCAGCTGTTATAATGTGAAACCAAGATTGAAGGATTGCTTCTATTAACTGGGTTTTATTGCTGGATTGCTTCTGACTAACACGTTTCTTTAGTCGGTTCCATAGATTTTCAATTGGGTTAAGGTCTGGGCTATTCCCAGGCCATTCCAGCAGTGGAATAGGATTATCTTGAAACTCAAAACAAAAGTGGTGTTATTAGCCATCAAACCTCAAAAATACACTTTTCCCAAAAGCACTTAAATGTCTCGCTTAGCAACGTACATTGTAGGCTCGATTGTGGTCGTAAATTGAGAACTATCTGTATCAGTTTAGTGACTATTCAAGGTTATAGCAGCAATAAAAAGAGCGACATACTACCGGTCCTCGCACTTATGACTGTTGCAGCATCCCCAGTCACATGATCAAAATGTAAGCACATGGAGACCGGCAAGTATTTACAATGGTTGCAAAATCTCAGGGTCATGGGATGGCCATTTGTTGCCTACCCAGCTGGCGTCCATCAAGCAAAGTCAACGGGAAAAGCCAGATTCGCTTAACAACCACATGAGTCACTTGACTGCAGTGATTCACTTAACAACCATGGCAAAAAAAAAAAGTCGTAAAATTGGGTGTAAAGTTCATTTAACAAACCGCTTTGCTTAGCAATGGAAATTCTGTTCTTAATTGTGGTCATAAATCAAGGACTGCCCATATTTAAGTAAGGGTGATGTGTTCTCCTGTGCTTTCATCTGCATGATTGCAATATATATATAAATATATATATAAATTGCGTACATCTCTTTTTCTGATCTCGGGTGTGAGATGAAACTCTATGCTCAGAAACTTTTTTCTGGTAAAATTCTGCTAGGGATTGTCTCAGCTCCGCTTCTGATTTGGGGGGTTCCTCTTCGTTTTGAGTAGAACTTGCTTGCAGCACCCTATAGAGAGAGAAAGAAAAACAAACAAACAAACTAGGAAAATGGAATAAAAGCCAAAAAGTAATGGCCCTTCTCCACTGCGTTTAACAATTAGCAAAATTCCGCAGGTCGAACTAACAGTTAAAGATTCCTTTCACCCCGAATTATTCCGCTCAGAATGAAAAACATCTGTAAAGATTGCACATTCGAAACAAGCCCAGATGAGGGTTTTTTGTCCAGATGCATTTCTTTTTATCTAGACATACAGTATGACATTACTGAGCACAAATGCTTACCCTTTGGAAGAGTCTATGGGAAGGAAATTTATTCCAATTTAATTGTGTTATAGCAGCAGTAGTAACTGTGGAGTATTTGGTGTCTGGGTTTGCTCTTCTCTAAACTAAATTAAGCTAAATTAACTCTAAACTAAATTAAGCCAATAAATAAATAAATAAATAAATAAAAGGAAGGAAGGAAGGAAGGAAGGAAGGAAGGAAGGAAGGAAGGAAGGAAGGAAGGAAGGGGAATTACCTGAATGATTCCATCAAGCGTGAGCTTGCACCACATAGATTTGACACACTGTACCAATCCTCAAGGACTGCAGGACTCCAGGTTTGAGTACAGAAAAGCTCCTGCTGGACCCATCCTGGACATAAACTCTCTGTATAACATGCATAGATGAAACATTTTTTTTTTTTAAAAAAGGACAAATACTACTTTATTAGAAAGAAACTGCATCAACTCTACACATGTCTAGATAGAACCTATTTTAGCCAACCCTGAGCAAGAAACACTTTTAGATATTATAGATGAGCTTGTAATAAAATCGATAATCTCCTTCTCCATAATTTATTTATTTATTTATTCAATTTATATACCGCCCTTCTCCTAGTGGACTCAGGGCGGTGCACAGCCAAAACTAAAATACATAACAATACAAAATTTAAAATTAATTAAAAGAATTATATACTTTGGCCCGAATTAAAACAGTGTGAATTAAAACCCATTAACAAATTAAAACTAAACAATTAATAACCATTAAAAACTAAAAAAGGGGGGCGGGGTTCACGCCAGCCCTGCTTGCTGGAAAAGAAGAGTTTTCAGGGCTCGGCGAAAGACCCGAAGATCCGATATCCTTCTTATCTCCGGGGGCAAATCGTTCCAGAGGGCGGGGGCTGCCACAGAGAAGGCCCTCCCCCTGGGGGTCGCCAGCCGACATTGCCTGGCCGACGGCACCCTGAGGAGTCCCTCTCTGTGGGAGCGTACTGGCCGGTGGGAGGCTATCGGCGGCAGAAGGCGGTCCCGCAAGTACCCAGGTCCTATGCCATGGAGCGCTTTAAAGGTGGTAACCAACACCTTGAAGCGCACCCGGAAGACCACTGGAAGCCAATGCAGCTCACGCAGGAGAGGTGTCACATGGGAGCGACCCCTCGCTCCCATAATCCCCCGCACGGACGCATTCTGCACCAGTTGGAGCCTCCGGGTACTCTTCAAGGGGAGCCCCATGTAGAGAGCATTGCAGTAGTCCAGGCGGGAAGTGACGAGTGCCTGAGTGACTGTGCGTAAGGAATCCCGTAATGGATTGCATAACCATAATCTTCCGTAATGGATTGCACCAGAGGCTAAACCAATTTCGTTGTATATATGATGTACAATGACAATAAAGGCTATCCTATCCTGTCTGTCCAGCAAGGAGATGAATAGTTGTCTGTAACACCTATTCTTTCCGCCCCCTGCCTTTTATCCCCAGAACTAGGGTGGGGCTTCGCTAGCAGTGGTGGCTCTTCCGTCCCAAGGATCGGCCCATAGATTTCCACTGCTCTCCTCTCTTCTGCCTTCTGCGCATCCGCGCATCAGGCACTGGACCCAGCTGTTCCTCCACCTTCTCATCAGCTACCTCCAGTCCTGGGGGCTGTTGACTCTCCATTTGAGGGTGACAGACAGTCCAGGCACCTGTCTCTATCTCTGACAGCTCCATTTTCTCTTCCCCCTCGGAGCTCTCAGGATTCCTTGATGCTGGCCCTGACTTCCACGCCTCCTCTTCCTCCTCTGGTTCAGCTGCTGGAGGGGCTGGCGGCCAACAGGCCACAACAATTCCGAACAGGTCATTGGCCAAGAAAATCTGCCTGAGACACTGCAAACAGTTCCTTTTCGGACAAAATATTGTGGGACTTCTTGGAACATCTGAAAACCAGAGTGGTAAAAAAAAAAAAGATCAGGCTTACCAGGACTTGCTTGGTGGTCTTCGTCTGAGTCCTCCATAACTTGACGTAGCACGCTGCTCACGACTTCTGGCAAACAGAAGTCCTCCTCCTTGGAAAAGTTCTCTGCCACAGGAGAGGGCTGAAGGAGGGACCCTTCAGCTTCTGCCACTTCTTCAGCAAAGAGCAGAGAAAGAAGCGCAGTGGTGCCAGAGATGGGGGAGAAAACTCCGGTACAAGGAGAATGAGCTCCGGATGAAAATGTCACTTCAGCGACCTTTCCAACAGAAGAGAAACATGAGAACAATGAGGGGTTGCTTAAACCCTTCCTGAGAAACACACACACAAAAAAGATGCTTTGAAGGAGGGATTTTGTTTCAACCATCCTTTCAGCAAAGCATCCTTTGAAACAGATAAGCTGCTCTGTGGCTTCGTTTAACGTCTAGAGTCCCATAAAGCTGTTGGTTGGACAAGGCCCCAGAAGGCATTGTGAAGGCACTTCAGTGAGGTGAATGATGCTACGGACTCAGCAAATATTTCATTTTCCATGGAGCAAAGTCGTTTTTGAAGAGGCCTAAAGGCTGACCTGGTTTTCCCCCAATATATGTCACCATTGTTTCCTTCTCTCTTGAGAATTACAGGTTGATGGCAGCCTTTGGAGAGCTGGGAGCTGCCTCTCAATCTTTCAGCGGCTTGCATAACCCTTGGTTTCAAGAATGGTGAAACATCCATTTCCGACCCCACCAACCTCCTGTCAGAACCTATCATTTCCCACCCCCACCAGCTAATCCCAACTGTCGTTAACTGTCCTTCCATCTCCCGCACCATCCAATACAACTGATGAAGCTTTCAGAATAGGAAGCGAAACATCTTCTTTCTCAAAAGAAAACCAGACCAAGTTGCCTTTTCAAAAATAAAAACCAGTTTGCACCATGTTAAAAGAAAGCACAGTGCAAGTTTACTCAGAGTGAACAAACTCTTGGAAAAAACCTCTCTACTGGACATTCTTCCTACCAGAGCTCCTACCAGATACTGTTGTAGTCCTCGACTTACAACAGTTCATTTAGAGACCGCTCAAAGTTACAACATTACCGAAAAACTTGACTTATGACCGTTTTTCTACATTTGCGGCCGTTGTAGCATCTCTATGGTCCCATGATTTACATTCAGATACTAGATAACTGATTCATATTTATGACCGCTGCGGTTTCCTGGGATCGTGTGACCTTCTGACGAGCAGAGTCAATGGGGAAACCAGATTCATTTAACAACCCTGCTACCAGTTTAACAACAGCAGTGATCCCCTTAACAAAGGAGACAAGAAAAGTCGTAAAATGGGGCACAACTCACTTAACAAATTTCTCATTTAACAACATAAATTTTGGGTTCAGTTGTGGTCGTAAGCAGAGGATAACCTGATTGTGAAACATAATCAACACCACTATGCTTATCAATTACCATGTTTTTCAGACTATAAGACGCACCTAAACTTACTGGAGGAAAACAAGAAAAAAATTGTTTTTGGCCTCCGTGCATCGCATTTCCGCCCTCCCTGGCCCCCAGAAGCACTCTGCAGTGCTCTGCGCAGCCCATTTTCGCCAAAAAGAGGCCATGTGGAGCACTGCAGAGTGCTTCTGGGGGCCGGGGAGGGTGAAACGCGACGCGCAGAGGGTTCGGGAGGCCAAAAATGCCCGTATTCGGTCTATGAGACGCATCTAAATTTTCGCCCACTTTTCGGTGGAAAAAAGGTGCATCTTAAAGTCCAAAAAATACAGAACTTATCAGTAGATTTGCTTTGCAGAATGAAAAGAGAGACTTACCATATGAAGTCCTTGAGCCAGAATATATTTTACAAACTGCTGGAACCAACGAATCTCTCGAGCCGAAGGTCCCAAGGGCTTGCTCTGGAGTGTCCAGCTCTCCGTGTGAAGATTTCTAACGGGCGCTGACCTCCAGTCTGTCATGGTGCCTTTAAGTTGTATCGTGACTGTCCCTTCGAAGTGCGTCTGGTTCAAAGTTAAGGGCTCCAGCACCACAGCGCAACTCCGGGCTGCTTCTTTTCCTGCTCATTTTGAAGATCAGAAAGGTTATACTTTTGTTTATCAAGCAAGCAAACTTTCTTTCTAGAATTTCTGTATGCAGTAATGAATAAAAGAATAAAGAATAACAGCTGAGAAAAATGAGGCTGTTTCCCCCAAAATAAGACATCCCCTGATAATAAGCCCAAACGGGATGGACCCCATTCAATGGCTCGTGTAAGGTGGTTTTGTTATATTGTACTATATTAATTTATTTGATTCTCCTTGTTAGTTTTTATTGTTTTAAATGTGGTTTTATATTCTGTGATCTGCCATGGGTGAATAGGCGGCTATATAAACTCAATAAATAAATAAATAATAAATCACTTTTTTCAGTGCCATTGTAATTTGAACCAGGGTGAAATCTAAAATTTGTTACTACCGGGTCTGTGGGCGTGGCTTGGTGGGGGGGGGGTAATGTGACTGGGTGGACATGGCCAACTTTTTTTTTTTTACTTTTAAAAGCATTTTTTCTACAACCTTAAGAGGTTGCAGAAAAAAATGCTTTTAGAAGCCTCTGACGATCCCAGCTGAGCAACCTGATCATCAGAGACTTTTTTAAAAAAACTTTTAAAAGCATTTTTTCGGCAGAAGAGGTTGTAGAAAAAATGCTTTTAAAAATAATAAAAAAAGCCTCTGATGATCGCGTGGCTTAGCCGGGAATGGGGGGGGGGGGGAACCGCAGGGATTTTTGCTACCAGTTCTCTGAACCACCCGCCGCCATCGCTACCAGATCGGGCGAACCGGGAGCATTTCACCCCTGCTTTGAACGGTCATTAAACGAACTGTTGTTAAATCAAGGACTACCTGTAAACCCCCCCACAAACCATATATATTATTTTTCGTTACCATCCGCCTTCAGGAGCAGGACTCCATCCAGATTTGGGAAGGACGTTTGTAAAGAAGAACGTGAGGAAAACAAGCCGTTCAAAGCGGAATCCAAAGGCAGCAGTTTAGTCCAAGGAGTGAACGATGGAAGATCAGAAGATGAATGGATGGTCCTTTTTTTCTGATGATCTAAATGCTGCGTTAAGACCTCCGAGGGCAAAATGGTGCCTCCCAGAATGCGCATCACTTCAAGCAACGTGAGGTAGCCAACGTGATCGGGGGGATCAAGAAGCTGAAAGGAGACAAATCAACGATGACCGGAATAAGGCTGATCGTCACAGGTAAGAACAGTACAATATGCAAGACTAGGTTAACATTGAGCTGCGCGATTTATGACTCAGCAGGTTGTGGGAACTTATCCACTCACTTGCTGTGACCTTTGAATCAGACCGTGATGCTGAGCTGCAATATGGTTTCTTGGGCACCTGCACGTTACATGAACCGTCCAGTTGTTTCAATATGAGATGGGCAGCAAATATTTTTTAAAATTAATGAATAAAAATGAAGTCAGCGTCCCAGTAATGATCATCTCCAGTGGGTGGGTCCTAATTTTTTTTTACTACCGGTTCTGTGGGTGTGGCTTGTTTTGTGGGTGTGGCTTGGTGGTGGGGTAATGTGACTGGGTGGGCGTGGCCAACTTTTTTTTTTTACTTTTAAAAGCATTTTAAGAGTATGCCTTTTCTGCAACCTTTGCAGCAAAAAAAAAAAAAAGGCTTTTAAAAGCCTCTAACGATCCCAGCTGAGCCGCACGATCATCAGAGGCTTTTTTTTTTTTACTTTTAAAAGCATTTTTTCAGCCGAAGAGGTTGTAGAAAAAGTGTTTTAAAACGTTTTTTTTAAAAAGCCTCTGATGAAGTGGGCGGGGTAAGCGAGCGGCGACCAGTTCGGGGGCGTGGCCATCCAATGTTATTACTGGTTCTCCGAATTACTACCAATTTTTACTACCGGTTCTTGCGAACCGGTGCGAACCGGGAGCAACCCACCACTGATCATCTCCCACATAAGCCTGCTGGAAGCTTCCTTTCGATAACAGAGGATCTTCTCCATGTTCCCAAAGAATGTTGCAGTTTTGCAAAAGAGAAACAACTCTGTTTCTACAATAGCATCTAAGTGGGGGTGTCAAACTCAATTTCATTGAGGGCCACATCAGGGTTGTGTTCGACCGGGGGGGGGGGGGGGGGCGTGGCCAGGGTGGGCGTGGCAAGCTCGACATCATTCGTGTTGCGGGCGCCTGTGGTGGCCCGAGCGCTTTGCCAGTGAAAATGGGCTCGCAAGCTCCATTTTTGGCTACGACGGACTCCTGCAACCCTCTACTGGTGAAAACGGAGCATGGGAGGGCCACAGGCGGCCCTCGAGAGCTGTTTTTGCTGGCAGAGCACCGCGGGCCAATCTTTCACTGTTTCCAGGGCAGCCCCACGGGCCAGATCTAAGCACCCCAGAGGCCGTTGAGTTTGACACCCCTGATCTAAGCAAGGGTACAAACTCCGGAAAACATAAATCTATAGCACAGTGGCTCCCAAGTCTTTTCTTAAACTATTAAACTATTACACCACAAACGTAATCTTGGGAAGTTATTTTATATAAATCACCAGTTGGCAACCCAGCAACTGTGGCCTATGGGAATGCACAGACCATTTTCACAGGCACAAACCGTGTTTCCCAACTGGAGTTTCATGGAATACGAGGGTTCTTCTGCAAGACGTAGCTACGGATTTTGTGAGCTGAGCTAGTGCTTGCGGTGATGGGAATTTTTATGCACTGCAACTCAGCAGCTGGCTTGCCGCTTTGATGTTGTTGTAAAAGATGAATTGTCAAGGTTAGAAATGAACTATATGCTGAAATGTTTACATATTTGCCATTTTTAATGCAGGGGTTTCCCAAGACTAAAAGATTATTTCAAGGATCCCTCCAAGGAAACAGTGCTGAGAAAGGCTGGGCACAAATATTTATCCAAGGATTATGCAGTTAGTCTTGTCTGTTCATTTTGGTAGAAAGAAGAGCATGATCAGCATGGAAGAAAACCTCAGGATCAGAAACACCTATACAGGCAGTCCTCGACTTACAACAGTTCATTTAGTGACTGTCCAAAGTTACAATGGCACTGGAAAAAAGTGACTTATGACCGTTATGATTTTTGCAGCATCCCCATGGTCAAAATTTGGAGGCTTGGCAATTGGCTCATATTTGTGACCGTTGCAATGTCCTGGGATCATGTGATTCCCTTTTTGCGGCCTTCCAACAAGCAAAGTCCATGGAGAAGCCAGATCCACTTAACGACTGAGTTATGAACTCTAACACCTGCAGTGATTTACTCATAAGAAAAATCATAAAATGGGGCAAACCCCACTTAACAAATGCCTCACTTAGCAACATAAATTTGGGGCTCGCTTGTGGTCATAAGTCGAGGACTACCTGTAGCCAGTTTCCATGTAGGTAATTGAGAAAACTAGAGAACGGTACGTTGAAATGTTAAAATAAATAAATAAAAATTCTGAATTTGATCGATTGGTCATCAAATCCCAGTAGATAAAACATGGAACCATTTGCTCTATTACATTTTTATATCTCGGGTAGTACCAAATAAAACAATAACCAAAATACGTATGAGTTTCGAAGGAGGGAAAACGAATGCAGCCAACATAACAAATAGAACGATAATCTGAGACTTTTTTTTTTTTTACCTTGGACCATTCAGTGGTGTCCATCCAATACAGAGTGACCTTATGACTGACCATCATGTCTTGGATTCCCTTAGGGAGGAATTTTTCAGCCAGGTCATGCGAAGGAGGCAGTTCTTCTGGCAAAGGAGCGTAGATCCCAGATATAAATTGCCATAGTTCCCTCCGGGAATGAGGGCAGGGAGATAAGACGAAAATGGCATTAGCAAAGCCCGCGTGAGTGGATTGCTCTGGAGGATTGTCCACAATCACCGTTAATTTGTTTTTCTGGCTCCTCAGCACTGGTTTGGTAGGAGAGACTATTTCAGGGCGGTCCCACTGATAGTCCAGCAGGGTTTCTTTCAGAATGTTCCGAGTGACGGTGGATCGTGGCGTCGGGCCCGGTGAGCACGGAGGGCAGAGCTGCTTCCCGAACCTGGCCTCCAGCTCTTCCTCAAAGTCTTCCCAGCTGCGGGACCCAAGCTCCCGGAAACTGCCTACTCGCGAAGCCCGGCCACGGATTCTCATGGAGTCAAAGAATTTGAAATCCCATCGGACCTTAGCCAGACCAAACTTGCAACCCAGGAAGTTCAAGATCCTCAAGGCGGCCAGGTGAAGGTGATCTTTCTCGGCGGAATCCGCCGTGTCCAAGAGGAAAACCACATTGTGAGAGCAGGTCATGATGCTTCAGCCGCTGGTAACCCGGAAGCTCCCAAGCGCGAGGAGAGGTCATCCGCCTGAACCGAGAACCAAAGGTGGAGCCCCGCTTATTTCAGCATCCTAATCCGATCCGAGCAGGTTTAAGGATGAGAAATGGATCCCCGGGCTCTACAGTCACTGGGGCCGCCCTTCCAAACAAACATGCTCACAGTAGGGCTTGCAAACTGAGGAACCTAAGCCTCTGCTGGCATTCACAGGCATGGGGCAGCACCGTCCATCTCCAAAGCTTCTCAAAGAAAAGCGATGCCCTCTCCCCATTTGCAAAAAAAGTCAAGCAAGCCCCATTACTCTAGCCACTGGACCTTTTTGCAAATGGAGGCGCAACCTGGAAGGTCTACCATGGCTCTGCTCCCAGTTGCCCTGAGGGACTACCCTTCTGCCCTCCTCCCCAGTTATCCTAGAAATTACCCCTCTCTCTTACCTTGATAACTACCCTTCTGCCCTCTCCACCGCTCTGGTAACTATTCCCTCCCACCTGTTACCTTGATGCCTATCTTCCTGACCCCCTCGGTTGCCCTAGTATCTAGCCCCCCTTACCTATGACCCCCCCCCCCCCCCCGTTGCCCTGCTATCTACCCCGACTTACCTTCACTCTCTTGCCCACCTTTACTCTCCTGCCCCACCCTCTGGTTGCCCTGGTAACTACCTTCCCTTCCCTTTACTCTCCTGCCCACCCAACTTTACTCTCCTGCCCACCCAACTTTACTCTCCTGTCCTCCCCCCGGGGTTGCCCTGGTAACTACCCCCCCTTATCTTTACTCTCCTGCCCCCCCTTTACTCTCCTGCCCCCCTGGTTGCCCTGGTAACTACCCCCCCACCTTGATAACTACTCTCTTGCCCCCCCCGTTGCCTTGGTAACTATCCTCCTGCCCGTCCGGTGGTCTTGCTAAATGTCCCCCTCCGTTACCTCGATGCCTGCCTGCCTGCCTGCCTCCCCAGTACTTTCGAGACCTTAACCACAGGAAAGAGGGTTAAGGGAGGAATTCTCAGGAGTCCCCGACCCCTCCGAGGGTTCTCCCAGTCTCCAGTCCTTCTCGGGCAGCCCTCCCGTCGGAGAGAAGCCGCCAGCTACTCAGAGGGAGCCGCTCCAACCGCCGCCATTACGCCCGCCATCGCCCCAGCCCATCCAACCGATGGCGCCTTTCGCGCTCTGCTTTCCCATTGGCTCGGGAGAGGAAGCCTGGCGCGCTCCTCATTGGCTGAGCCTGGTGTGTTTTTCCCCCCCCCCCAAACTCCGCCCCTCTCCGCTCGACAGGTGGACTCCTCCCTCTTGATCTTCGGATTGGCTACCGCCGTTGGCGCAGGCGCCTTCGCAGGCGGAAGAACGAACTCGACGCCAGGTTTTCCCCCTCCCTCTTCTTTCTTTCTTAAAGGAGCCGCAAAGCTCTACTTATTTCAATGTTTCTCAACCTGGCTAATTGTAAGACATGTGGACACTTCAACTCCTCAGCCAGCCTTGCAAAATTTGATTTTTGGTTGAGTATGGTGGTTGTGTCCACCCAGCCTCTTTATATATCATCTATCATTGTATTGTATTGTATTGTATTGTATTGTATTGCATTGCATTGCATTGCATTGCATTGCATTGCATTGCATTGCATTGCATTGCATCATATATCATATCATATCATATCATATCATATCATATCATATATCATATATCATATAGAATAGAATAGAATTCTTTATTGGCCAAGTGTGATTGGACACACAAGGAATTTGTCTTTGGTGCATAAGCTCTCAGTATACATAAAAAGACAAGATACATTTGTCAAGAATCATAAGGTACAACACTTAATGATGGTCATAGGGTACAAATAAGCAATCAAGAAACAACATCAATATAAATCGTAAGGATACCAGCAACAAGGTTACAGTCATACAGTCATAAGTGGGAGGAGATGGGTGATGGGAACGATGAGAAGATATAATAATATATCATTACATATTAATATATATCATTCATACACAATTCAGTGTTGGTACAAGCACAAAGCACGAGCTAAGACGTCCACGCCATCTCAAAGCTGCCAAGTGTGAAAAGCACTGTGTGAACCCTTTTGAGCTTTGTGCATCTTGCAAGTGGATGCTGCGTCCGTTCTACACATTTCCTAGCTCTACGTTCTCTCCTCTCTTTAAATTCACTTCCCGTTGCTCTGTCATTGGCCGAGAGCTCTGGAACGCGAGGCGCTGATTGGATGACAGGCAGCCTCGCTTTGATTTTTAAAAACTTTAAAGGTCGTGTGTCGCATGACTGAGCTCCGGTCAAAGGCCAATTGGGGAGGGCGATGCTTGGCTAATTTTAACCTTTGCTTTGTGGTTTAGTTGTGTTGTGTCAACCCAGCAACGTCTCTTAACTACCCGATTTCAATCTATTGTGCAAACATTAAAAAATGGGTTAAAAGAGAGAGATAGATAGATAGAGATAGAGAGAGAGAGAGAATGGTTAAGGGTTAGGCAAGGACTCCAGAGCAGAAAATGTTGGTGATCCGCAGAAAAATTATTTGCATTTTTTATATTGCACTAAATACTACTTATCTTTTATTTTAAAAAAATCATATTAGTGGTCCGCGCGATTTAAAATTATAAATTTAGTGGTCCCTGAGGTCCGAAAGGTTGGCGACCCCTGCTCCAGGGAGATCCAAATCCATTCTCAGCTATAGGAGATCAGTAGGTGACTTTTGGACTCGCCATTTTCTCACGCGCGCTCTCTCTCTCTCTCTCTCTCAGCCCAGTCTACATCACAGGGTGGTTATCCCAGCTGATTGGGAGGAAATGGGGATTTCGCAGTAACCTTCCCCTGGAGTGGGGAGCGAATGGAGATTTTACAGTATCCTTCCCCTGCCACGCCCACCAAGCCATGCCACACCCACCAAGCCACGCCCACAGAACCAGTAGTAAAAAAATTTGAATCCCACCACTGGTATAAGTCACTTTTTTTAATGCCATTGTAATTTTCAATGGTCACTAAATGAATTATTATAAACAGGGACTACCTCAGTGGTGGGTTGCCCCCGGTTCGGACCGATTTGCAAGAACCAGTAGTAAAACCAGCAGGAGGCTCCGCCCACCAAACCTGGACGTCGTCAGGAAGCTTCTGCACATGCACAAAAGCTTCTGTGCATGCGCAGAAGCACGCACGCTCAGTCCCATTTTGAACTGGTAGTAAAGGTAAGTAGAACCCACCCCTGGACTACCTATATAAAAGGTGGGGTAATATATAGTAATAAACATAACCTTAAGTCAGTGGTGGGATTCAAATAATTTAAGAAACCATTCTCTGCCCTAATGACCAACTGGAGAGGCATGGTTCAGTGGCCATGAGACTGTGTGGGCGTGGCCAACTCAACATCACTCATGATGATGGGCGCGTCACCTTAGCTGTTACAATGTAATAAGGGTTAACCAGAGAGGCAGTTTCTGTAAGCAGGGCAATAAAGATTAGGCTAGAAACAGCAGCAGAATGTTTCCTTCTTGCCTTCCTTACAGGATTAGCCCTGTAAAGTGGGAAAAAAAACAACAAAATAAGATTTCTTCCAACATCCGGTTCTCCGAACTACTTAGAAAGTTAACAACCGGTTCTCCCGAATAGGTGCGAACCGGCTGAATCCCACCATTGCCTTAAGTAAAAGAAAGATTTAAGGGTTAGTCTATTAAATAAAACAATATCATGCATAACAAATGTGCTAACACGGCCATAGAGTAAAACTGTATGAAGAAGGCATTCATAGGAGTTGTCAAATAGGATTTATTTCTGTGTGTAATATATTTCAGTCAGTTAGTTTACGTCCATCCTACTTTTCTTATCCAGGGCTTGAAGGTAGATTGTTATTACTGTGCTTAGTTGAGTATCATATCTCAGACAAAAATCCACACCCACCAGTTGGTGGCAGTAAAGGGTGTTTTCTATTTTTTTATTGTTCTCTAGGAGGTCTTAGATCCAATTTTTGAAGGCTAATTCCTCTTTGGGATTGTGGCAAAATGCGAGCATAATGATGTTTATAATAGATACAAAACCAATAGAATTTATAATATTACACAGATATTCCTCCTACGAGTCAGTTCCTCTCCTGGTTCCTTTGCCTAAATTTTGTACATAATCAAAATCTGCTTGGCCCAGTGGGATCGAGGTATTTTCTCCTTTATGTCCACTAGATGTCAACATTGGCTCACTATAAAGCTATGAGATTGAGTTTTACTACGAATAGAATCTTTGCATAACATGCAGTGGGAGAGTACATTTGCAAGACTAAACTCCAGTGAATACAGTAAAGCCAGGAATAAAATTAAGAATAATATTGGAGTCATTGAATGGCGCTGAGGCCTTTACTTCAATTTTTTATTTACTTTTAATTTTAAAAAAACTAAAATTTTGTTGTTGTTAGTTGCAAAGTCGTGTCCAACCCATTGCAACCCGTGGACAATGTTCCTCCAGGCCTTCCTGTCCTCTACCATCCTCTGGAGTCCATTTAAGCTCACGCCTACTGCTTCAGTGACTCCATCCAGCCACCTCGTTCTCTGCCGTCCCCTTCTTCTTTTGCCCTCAACTGTTCCCAGCATTAGGCTCTTCTCCAGTGAGTCCTTCCTTCTCATTAGGTGGCCAAAGGATTTGAGTTTCATCTTCAGGATCTGGCCTTCTAAAGAGCAGTCAGGATTGATCTCCTCTAGGACTGACCAGGTGGATTGCCTTGCAGTCCAAGGGACTCGCAGGAGTCTTCTCCAGTACCATTGTTCAAAGGCCTCAATTCTTTGGCGCTCAGCCTTCCTTGTGGTCCAACTTTCACAGCCATACATTGCAGCTGGGAAGACCATAGCCTTGACTATACACACTTTTGTTGGCAGGGTGATGTCTCTGCTTTTTAGTAAATGCTGTCTAGCTTTGCCATAGCTTTCCTCCCCAGGAGCAAGCATCTTTTAATTTCTTGGCTGTAGTCCCCGTGTGCAGTCATCTTGGTGCCCAAGAAAATAAAATCTGTCACTACTTCCATTTCTTTCCCATCTATTTGCCAGGAATTGAGAGGGCCGGTAGGCATGATCTTAGTTTTCTTAATGTTGAGTTTCAAGCCAACTTTTGCACTCTCCTCCTTCACCCACATCAGAAGAAGGAAATGGCAACCCACTCCAGTATCTTTGCCATGAAAACCCCATGGACAGTACCAAAAACCTAAGATGTATATTCTAATAAAGAAAACCTGGAAAGATACCTGCTCAGCAACACAAGACAAGATAGAAAGACCTGCACACAGATTAGAGAACAAACGAAACTATACGATATCATCAAGAGAGTTAAAGAATTAAAATGGAAATGGGCCGGTGACATAGCAAAAAGAACTGATGGCAGGTGGACCATGGCAGTCCTAGAACAGATCCCACTTGATTAAAAAAAACGTCCACGAAAGAGACCTAAAACAAGATGGAGTGACATCAGAAAGTATTATGGACACGATTGGCAAAGGAAAACTCAAGACCGTATTGGTTGGAAACATGCAGAAGTGGCCTTCGTCCTGCAGTGGATAGACAATTGTGAGGAAGAGGAGGAGG